AATTTTTATTCACTGCTTTTTGCTTTCTTTCCTTCACTTCCACCAGCACTTTCACTGGATAGAGGTCGCTTGGTAAAATATCTATCCAAAGAGGTTTGGCTTTGCATACTTTTTAAAATGTTTCTAAAATTACTTAGGCAAATGTCATTACTCCGAGCAGCAATACAGCCAGTGTGAACCTTTTCGGGATGTTTCTTTTCAATAAAACCAGTCACTTTCTGATAATACCTCGAGATTTCCTTTATCGTACAAGATCCTTCAACGACGAAGCAAACATGCGGACTGAGACTAATGAGCAGAAGTGAATAAAAATGGCGCTGCGAACTAATGTAAGTCATATGGTGAGTTTTTGTTCATATCGTGGAGTAAAAATATGTTCGAATTTAATGTCGTATCCTGAAAATTTCGTATGCTGGGCATTTGTATCCTGAGGTACCATGTATATATATATATATATATATATATAGTAGTATATAGTGTAATGTTTTCATATACTTTATATGAAAACATTACTCTGTTGTCTGGTGGTTTGTGTGCACTCCAGACAGGTTTATTTTGGAAAATGGTTAAATAGTAATAAGATATTTTATCTTTTTCAAATATCCAAAGAATTATATCAATTTGAAAGAAATAGGGAGTTTATTTGCTTGCTGAAAAATATTCTGGTTCTTCAATAATTTATTATTTGCTTGGATCATTAAAATATACCTTGATTGAAAGCTTCAAAGTTCCAATGCTCTGAAAATTTATGCTTTGAATGATATTGATCACCAAACAGAACATAAGAGCTGTATGCCTTCCTGAAACTTTATGCTTTAGGACCATATATGGTATTTTAGTTGTATTTCTGCTTTTCAAGAAGTTGATCACATCATCAGAATTCTGCTGATCTCCAGAAAATTTTTAATTTGATTTTGTTCTATTATTATTACAGGTTGTTTGATGAGCCTTGAGAGTTACCAAAACATTATACAGTGTTTTGATAGCTATCAAGAAAATATATATATTTTGGATTAAATTGGTATATTGCAGAATCAGAATTGAAAAGTTCATTTTTTAAATGAAAAATTGTTTATAATCATTGTTAAAGTTATCATTAAATAATAGCAGAAATGAATCAAATTCCAACTAAAAAAAGTACCAAAGTAAATTATATTCCTATAAATTTTAATTCAAAAAATGTTAATTAATAGACATAATGTGATAACAACAACCAAATTAATTCTTTGTACTATTCTAAAAAAAATCACGTTGTTAAATTTAAATTTTTGAATAGCATGATATTTTGCTATTACCAAAAAGCTTTCTTTTTTATTTTTCATTTCAATTGTATTGAAATGCATGATATGGTGTGAATTGCCAAAGTGGGATGCACCATGCAAGACTTTAATAGATAACAGAAAACTCTGCACATTACATCTTTCTTGCCTAAGAAAATGCTGATGTAAAATATGGTATGTGTTTGTAATCTTCATCAATTATTCATTTTTTTTCTGATATAGTACTTAATGATAAACTTACCTTCATCTCTCCAATATCTTACAATATAAGTAACAACAGTACTATCACTATTTCCATAAGGTGACTGCCAGCTTAATCTTGCAGTTCGACTTGTAACATCATTCACTTTTATTCCTCGAGGAGGAGAAGGTGGTTCTATAAAATATGAAAATTTGTCATCAATTGATAGTAAATTGTTATAAATAATTATAGAAAATACTATATTCAATCAATAATTTTAATTATTATGTAAATTTAATGCTTGTGATAAAACAAATAAATTAAATTTAACGTTAACATAAATGAACATTCAAAATATAAAGCAGCAGCTCCATATTTGTTGAGGTTACATTCTACAAAAATGGCACAAATATGGAAACTGCATATATAGTAAGGTTTGCCCCACTACAACATAGGAATTTTTGGGAATCATTTAATATAGAATTTAATGACTTATGTAAACCCACAAAATGTTTGAAAATCAAAACAAAAAAAAACATTGTTTAGAAAAAGAAGAAAATTGTCATGCCAAATGAGACCACAACATACTGTATGTGGGTGATTGTGTTAATTGTTTTTCTAAACTCTGTAATAGGAGACATAGGAGAGAGGAAACTTCCTTGGGAATATATAGAAATTATCTGGAGATTGATACAAACTTTCAATGACAGTTTGAGGATCTAATCGAAAAAAAAAAAAAAAAAAAAAAAAGCAAATTGATTGTCTGCCAACAAGGATTTGTAGATGGTATAAAAAAAAAAAAAAAAAAGATTTTTGATAAACTTGAGACAGATGAAGAGAAGGAAATAGTTGCATTTCAGTCTTCAGATGAGCAGTAGTCACATCATAGCTTTTAGACTAGAAAATCAGTCACTCCTCAATTCTTACCAGATCCTATTCTCTCTCCTCAAATTTTGTCAGTTTCTATCTGCATAGATTGGTCAACCTCCAAGTATTTATTGTGCCAGATCCAACAACTACTAAAATATTTCTCCCTCTCTCCAGACAACTATGTAACAGTGGTTAAGCAAACAAAATAAAACAAATCACACTACTTGGAAATTCACAAAATAGACAATTTTTAAATTTAACTAACCATTTTATCATTAAAAAGAAAACAAAGATGATGGCAGACTTCCTACAAAAGAAAAAATAAAAACCTTTATCTATTTTGTTTGAGTTTGTCAGACCTAAAAACTGATTATTACATACACTTTATAAAGATAACACTAAGTTAATTCAACTCAATATATTGGGACCTAACAATGGAAAAGAGAAATACATTGAAATAAGAGGTAAATATTCAAAGCATTCACCTTATTATTTAGTGTAGACCTCTAATATTCAATAAAATGGACAGTCATCCTCTAAATAATTCTCCAAAAATCATTATATATATATAAAGGTGGCATTTATCAAAAATTTATCAGCTTTCAAGATGAAAATTAAGTAGGAATGTATAATATAAATTAAAACCTGGATCAAACTTATATAAAACAGGTGAGAACTAAAGATGAGGTATATATATGTGTACAGTTTCCAAGGAAAAAAAAAAAACAATGGCAGACAAACAGGCACAGCATGTAAAGGATTTTTCATGCTTTTTTAAAAACTCTTGATAACTTTAGACAAGAAAATCTGTTGGATGGATTCATTATGCCAGTTTTAAATTGGCAAATATTCATTAGACAACTTCACACTTCAGAGGAGGGAACAAAAAAGTTCTTTCAAAAACTACATTATGAATTGAGAGAAAAAATTTGATATAATAAAATACTTCAATAGAGTTCATAGATTCAGTACTTACAAAAATCTACAAAGATATAAATTATTCAATATGTTAAAATAAATTGCATAATAATCTTCTTCTTGGCAAACTATTTCTCTAATATATAATATGTTTCTTAATGAAATATTTTGTTTAGTTGTTTTTATCAAAAAACAATGTAATGTTAAAAGTGTCTATACTGTAAATCAGTATTTTGAAATCAGAAATTCAATTTCAGCTATATTTCACAACTTATGAATAACTTTAAAAAATTGCAAAAATAAGAATAAAATGTTCTCTTATATGGATTTGGAATAATTAATGTAAACATATAAATAAAATGCATTTATTACTGTTTAAATACAACATTTTGTGACTGTGTCTTTGAAATAAGGTGAACATTACATTCACAAGCTAACTATTTTGGATTTTACGTCTTGAAAATTGAGAGTGCATTAGACTTTATGACATACTAATACCAAGAAAACAATAATAAATGATTTTAAATAACCAGATGTAATTACAAAATTTGCTTTTCTTAAAAAAATCTGCAGTTTAAATATTTTACTTTATGACATTAGACAAATTTGATGTTTCAGTTACTGAATTAAAATTTTAATATGATACAAAATTTCCTATGAAGAACAATTTTCTTAAATTTTCAATTATGTTAAAGTATAAAGTTATAATTTAACATAAAATGTATTATTTTTACAGCATTAGTAAGACATTATTTATAAAAATACATATTTTGTACATTTTTTTACTGCACAAGTTACATTAAAAATTATAGTAAAAATATAAATTTTTAAAAGGTCAGTATTTAGTCATATCTTTTTTTCATTAATATTGCATGATGATAATTGAATTCAAGACATCATTTTAAAATTTTAGTAAGGAACAAAATTACTCTAGGAAATCATTTTCAATATAATTAGTACAAGCAATACAAACAAGCATATGATGTAAAGCAGTCCACTAATAAGATCATTGTAAAGAATTAAATCAACATCTTAATCATCAAATACAACTTACCAAGTACAACCAACTGTATTTTTCCTTCAGCTTCTCCAAATTGACTACTGACATGGCAAGTATATATGCCTGTGTCATTCTTCTGACTATCATTAATTAAAGTATCAGATATAGCTCCATTTGCAGTATTTTCTTGTAAAGTTTCAAATCTAAAAAAAAAAAATTTATTTTTAACAATAGAATAACCATTAAATAAAAAATATTATACATTTAATGTGAAAATTCACATGCTTTAATATATTTTGTTTTATAATTAACAAAAACTAATTAATTATTAAAAATCAAGTATAATTTTCTACAAAGTATTAAGCACATAAATATTTTTTTTGATGCACCAGTATTTAATTATAAGAGACTAAGTTAACCACATTCATTTTATTTTAAAACATTTTATAATACAATAGAATCTCATTTTAACAGATAGAAGAACAACAGATTTCTAGGAATAATGGATTTTTCTTCAGGTCCCATCAAATCAATGTGATTTTACCTCATTTTAGCAGATCTGTAACTCAAAACAATAGATTTTTTTTAGCTCAAACCGTAAACATCACATTTTTCTCAACAATTAATATTTGTTTCTGAGTACTAAATGAAAAATACATTATGCAGGTATTTTGCTCCACATGCAATTGTCATGTTTTATATTGCTAACTTTGTAGCCACACATCAACATCCTCCTGTAGCATATTGATAAGTGACAGGAAGCTATTTCCAGTTGTTGTACTCAATGGGCAGAAAAGCAGCATGAAAATAAACCAAGATGGATGAAATTTTTAACGAATCCTGAAGTCAAATGAAGTGCTAACAAACATATGTATGTACTTTTCTTCTTTTTGTGCTATATAGTTTCCATCAGCTTCATTGTACACATGAATGGCATAATGTACAATCTTGCAACATATGTTTTTCTGTAGAATAAAAGGAGAGATCTCAAGAGACATAAGAAATATCTGTATTTGAAATTCTTCAATGTAGGGGGATTAAAAAAAATTTTTTTTTTAATAAAGGATGTTTTCTTGGGTGTGTGGGAAATCCATTCTTTGCATTATAATGGATTCTCAGAACAATGAATGATTTTTGGTGGCCCGAGTGTTCCATTAAAGTGATATTCTACTGTATTGTATTAATATGCTGTAAAAAAAAAACTAAATATAAAACTTTATGTTTATTAAATTTAAATAATTAAATATTATATAAATCATAGTAAAGAAAGTGTAGTAGATAATGTATAAAATATATTTCTTGCAAATTCTTCCATTTATCAATAAAGTTTTATTATTTGATATGATTATTCCTAAATATTTTTAAAAAGATGTTATATTGAAGATCAACAACTTGATATAATAAAAATAAGATCATTTTTTCACTATTAATCTTCCACCCTGACGTTAAGACAGCAAGTATTAGTATATGTACTGTACTTCTGCTGTTTGAATGTCAAGATGAAAAATGCTCTTATAAATAACAAAAAAATCTATCAAGAAAGTCTTCTTTCATTCCACTATCCTGCATCACATATGTCAATCTATCAGATGGTATGATATTTACCATAAAAGGCAATAATTTATTTTTGCTCTGGATAGACCGTTAATTTTTTTATTTAAGAAAATGCAAGGAAGAGGATTAACAAACAACAAACTGATACCTTTTATGCTATTTTCTGAAAAAAAAGGACATATCAAAGAGAAAGAACTTAAAATTTTTAATAGTTTCAAAAATATACAGTAGAATCCACTTATTATAATCCCCTTAGGACTGATTGTTATCAAACAATTATTGTTTAAGCAAAGTAAGCAAGACAATAAAATAACACTCTAAAAATATTACAGTTGTACAACTTGAAGATTAATTAATAATGTAATGCATCCAGTATTGTTTGCTTATACCATCTTCAACACCACCTAGATATATAATTAAAATAATAAATTTCAGAAATTTAAACTATTGTATTGAAAACATATTGTTATCAGTCTTAATGAGTATTTAAATTATAAGTGATAATAGCTGTGTTATTAGTCACATATTTAAGCTGATAATATGAAAAGAGCTTTAAAAATGCTAATTTACCAAAGTTTTATATTAATTATATTATACATGCATGTTTACATTTAACCAGTGACATTTATTGTGATAGATGCAGAAAAAAAAGACANAAGTGATAATAGCTGTGTTATTAGTCACATATTTAAGCTGATAATATGAAAAGAGCTTTAAAAATGCTAATTTACCAAAGTTTTATATTAATTATATTATACATGCATGTTTACATTTAACCAGTGACATTTATTGTGATAGATGCAGAAAAAAAAGACACAAGGGATACTATATAATATAAATAATTAAAATGTTACCTCATATTCTTATAAAAGTGTTCATCTCTTTACGTAGAGCAATTATTAATTTAAAAAAAAAATTATATAACCTAACATTATACAAGCATTTATGAATAGATTTAACAACTTGTGCATATTCTAAAAATGATGAGGCATATTTCAATCCCCAATGTTTCAATCCTGGATCAGCAACTGCATTTAACTAATGAATTATCTAATAAGAAGGATAATCATGTGATTGAACTGATTCAAAGTATAAGTACATTAAATATATCTATTATCTGTGGCAGAGTCTATAGTTTACATCTGTAGACATTGTCTGTGATGTTTAATATGACTGTAAACCAAGTGCAACAAATTATATAATGATATTATTGTATTATATTTAAAAACCATTATTCATTATTTTATGTATTGATTCATGTTATATTTATTGCCATCATTAAAGTATTTCATCACTTAGATTAATAAATTTTTATTACAATGATAAAATACTCATTTTATTAAAAAAATAATAATAAATTCAACACTTATAAAATTAAATTTACAAATCTGAAACAGAATTGTCTCAAAATGTTTTTCCTGAGACTTGAAACAAGAAAAATTTTGAAATTTCCCAATTCCCAAATCAGAAAACCTAATTTAAAGTCAAGTTTAGATATGCTTAAAAATCTTGTAACTGAAATAATTAAATGAAAGTTNTAAAATAAATATTATATTTATTAATTAATACAAAATTTAATTTTAAAATTATTTTAGAATATTTAAATAATTCCAACCTAGAGCCTTTTTCTCCAGCTATTATTGTATCTTCTTTCTTCCACGTTATAGTGAGGGGCGGTTCACCAAACACCTCACATTTCAAGTGAGCGGTAAAACCTTTACGTACAGTAATAACGGAAAAATCGCCTTTCACTTTCGGTGCAACTGTAATAAAAGTCATTAATCATCATCAAGTTAAAGTAATTTAGCAGTTCCAAAAATAGAAGGCGAGTCAGCTCAATAAATTTAAAATGACTGTGAAAAGTCACATCCTCTTGATATAATAAACATACTTTATTACAACATATTATATCCCAACAACTTTAACGATGAATTTCCGTACCATGTACAGTTAGATGAATTTTTTTCTGCAAACCGTTTCCAATTCCGTTATAAGCTTGACAAATATATACTCCTTTATCACTTTCGTCGACTCTCAAAAATGTTAAAGAACCATTCGATGCTAAAGTCCTTTGACTATCGCTTCCTACGGGGAGCTGATGCTCGCTTCGATCTGAAATTAATAATAATTTTAATCCATTTAACTGCGATAAAACTATTTAAACACATTCAAAATATCAATTACGAACCTGTCAATTTATCCCAAGTAATTTGAGGTTGCGGATAACCAGTAGCACTGCAATCGATAGTCAATCTTGAACCTAAAGTAGCTGCGATATCTGTCGGCTCTTTAACCCATCGAGGTGGCACTGAAAACGAAAGTTATATTTGTTAAATTAGTTTTAAAACTCATTTTCGATTAACCGGCCAGGTAACAAACGTAACGATGCTTGTAAGAAATTTTAGCGCCTTTAAAATAAACTTGTCACAAACGTATAAAAATAAATGGTGACCAATGAAACGATACAGTTTAATGCCGTTAAAGGAATATAATGCAAATAAAGTTAAATATTAATACATATCTATTTAAAACTTTACTTACGTATTTCGTATATGATTTCTATTTTCTATAAAAAGTTACCCGTCATTTCATATTAATTCATTAGTATTTTAAATAATAAGTTATACATCCATAAATAACCTTATGAATTAATTAACTTACAATATTTATCTTTAAAAATTACATTAATTAAAGTTAAATGAAAACACCACATTTTTAAGTGCTAAACTCAGGAAATGAGAAATGAAGTATACAAAATGATTGGTAAAATACTTTATTGCTTATATTCATACATAAATAAAAACCACAACAAAAGTTTGCTAAATTACAAATTCAGCAACATTGTTTTATCAAAACTTTCCTACCTTTCATAACCAGGGATGCTGTGTAAATATCAGAACCTACAGCATTAGTGACAATACAAGTGTAATTTCCAATACTATCTACATTTACTTTATGAAGAGTCAGAAGTGAAGTAAAGTCATCTGCTTTATTAATACTTATTTCTCCCGTTTCTTTAATATTGATACCATTTTTCTGCCATTTAAAATGTAAGGGTAAATCACCCTGTATAACAACACATGTGACTTGTTCTCTTTGACCTTGTTGTATATCAGAAGAAAAATGAAACTGTTTAATTTTAGGAGGATCTAGACCTGAAAAAACATTATTTCATTAAATTCTATATGTAATATTTCAAAAACTATGTAAACTGTAGAAAAGTTAACAAAATTTTATACCTGCAACAAGGTAAAAAAGTATTAAAAAATAAAAAGTTTTTAGACAGATACAGAGTGAGAGCTGAAATTAAAAAGATTTCTATTAGAAATAATGATTATAAGTGATTTTAAACAAGATATTATTTTTAATATTAAATTTTATAATTATGCTCACCATCATTTTCATTATTATCTTCTATTATTCATGAAAGATTAGTTAAAAATCCATTCAATTGAAATTCTCTCTGAGAAACTATGATACCTCAAGTGGCACAAAACGGAACTACCGGTATAACCACATTATCAAAATATAACAATAATAATGAAGAATATCTTAAATTTATTTATGAAATTCCAAATTATTTCAAGTAATTAAAATGAATAAAAATATATGATATATATGATATTTACCAGCTGTATTTAAATCGAATATTAAATAAAAATAATAAGCATTTATTTACTCTATAATTTATAAAGATAGAGCTTTTTGCCTAAAACTGATTAAGGTGTTACATAAGATGCCTACCTTTCATAATTAATGAAGTGGTATAACTATCGGCCCCAGCCGAATTTGTAACCATGCAAGTGTAATTACCCATATTTTCCATTTGTACAGAGTGAATCATTAAATAAGAGCTATAAATATTAGCAGAATCAATAGATATTCCTGTAAATTTTTGTATATCCATGTTATCTTTTTTCCACGTAAAAGCCAAGGGCGGATCACCTTCTATAACAGTACAAAATATTTGTTGTCTTTGTCCCTCAACAACATTATTACTGAAATGAAATGGTGATATTTTTGGTGGCTGAATACCTAATTAAAATAATAATTTCGTTATCAAATTTACGATATTTTACAAAATTACAAACATTGAAATTCATACCATTTGCAAGCGCTAAAAAAATGAATATGACAGCTAGATACTCCATTCTGTGAAGCGCCTCTAGTGTCAATAGCAAACATTAGATCCAAAAAAAGCAAAACCCAGGCATATTTAGTAAAAAAATTCAAAATTTTATCGGCCAAACTATATTAATAAGTGTACTTTTTCTCCCTGAAAAATTCCTTCATAAATATTTAATGTATGTTTCTACAGCATGCTTGTTTACAAATTAACTACAGCAAATTCCTTACATTATTTGTGAAAATAAAAATTTCACGTAACATTGAAATTTACTGCCCAGATATATTTCACAAAAAATTTCAAAAATTCACACATACTGTAAAATAACTGCATTCATTCCCACCTTTCATTAATAACTGTGCTGTATAGCTGTCGGTACCAAAAGAATTTGTAACCGTGCAAGTATAGTTGCCGATGCTATCTGTTTTAACAATAGGAATCATCAAAAGAGAGTTAAAATCTTTGGTTTCTACTTTGATTTCGGCGATTCTCCTTATATCGATTCCATCTTTAAGCCACTGAAATGTAAACGGAGCATCTCCACTTTTCACTGCACAGTAAATTTGTTCTCTCTCCCCTTCTTGAATATCTTTTGTAAAATGAAACGGTTTAATTCTTGGTACATTTATGGCTATGAAAAAATTCAGACATCAAGAAACAATATAATTATTTCGACAACGTGTACTGTAAACTAGCAGTACTCACCAACAGAAAAATGAATGATCCATAAAAGAGTAAATTCAGTTATCATTATGAACTGAAATATTTCTAATACAAATATTTAACTTTCGTTAATTGTTTTGTGAATATTTAAACATGAAGGTTTTTAAATATTATCGAAGAACCATACATTGTGACCGAAAATGGAAGGTACAGCAGCGCCAAATTAAGTATTTAAGTAAATAAATTTTACTGTATGTAGCCTAAAAGATACAGCAAAAACTATTTAAAAAATATATTATTTATTTATTTTTAAATACAATGATTACTTTATTTAAAAAAAGTTAATTTACACAGCTTTTTTAAAAATTATTTACTTCGATGATAATACGAATAATTAATCAAGTATTTAAGAGCTTTGTCGCAAAAAAATAAAGGCAAAGTGAATAAATGTTTAATTTTTAAACTGAAATATCCTATTTAAATCTCATATCATCTCACCTTTCATCATCAAAGTGGCAGTAAAACTGTCGGATCCCACAGAATTCGTTACTATACATGTATAATTACCAATATTCGTTGAGTGAACTGAAGGTATTATTAAAACTGAGTAAAACTTATTCAATATTTCAACTTTAATATCTGGAAAATTTGAAATATCTGAATTATCTTTCATCCATGTAAATGAGAGAGGACTATCTCCCGATTTTACAGCGCATATTGCCTGCTCTCTTTCACCTTCCTTTATATCTTTTGTAAAATAAAATGGCTTAATTTTTGGAGGAACAATTCCTAAAATACCAAAATAAGATTTATTTTACTAATAGATAAAAGATCGAATTTAATAAGAATGAATTTATTACCTACCTAAAACAAATGATATTTGTATTGAATATATTATTATTTTCTTGATATCCAACTTCAAATACATTATAACGAACTTATTAATAGCAGAATACTCGATTTTAAGACTAATACTAAATCGCCAAACAAAACATTTCACTTCATATATGTTATCTGTTGAACTACAACACAAATATAAAGAAACAAAACTCTATTGCATATAAAATGTGTACCCAAGGTAAAAGATTGCAGCTTTTAAAATTCAACAACAGCGCCATTATCGACAAGTCCAACAAAAAGAGTAAGAAAAAAAAAAGGATTATAATTGTGAATGAGATATTATTGCTGAAATAATCTTTAAAATGTGAAAATTATTATTAATATTAAGAAATTTATAACTACAATGCATTATTATTTTATAAATAGATTACCTTTCACCACAAGAGATGCAGTATAACTATCAGAACCTGCAGAATTTTGTACTATACATGTATAATTTCCAATGTTTGATGGTTGAATTGAAGGAATTGTAAGAAAAGAACTGAAATCTTTAATAGAATCCACATTAATATCTGGAAGTGTTTTAATATCGATTTGATCTTTCAACCAAGTAAAAGTAAACGGCGAATCTCCTTCTATAACAGTGCACACTGCTTGTTCTCTTTGACCTATCCTTATGTTTGTAGTAAAATGAAAAGGCTTGATTTTCGGTGGAATCATGGCTAAATATTAAAAATTTTGTTACCTTTAGCATCTATGTTCGAAATTATATTAACGTCATTTATCTCTCTTACCTGTGCACAAGTCGAAAATCACTGTTAAGCCTATCACTACTAGTTTGAAATTCATTATTCAGTTCTATATTTGAACTATATATAGTCCATACCAAAAAAAGCCATTGACTAACAGATTTTCACAAGACAAAACTATAATGTTTAACTTACGGAACAATACTCGCTATGAAATGATGGTTAAATTCACTATAACAAACAGAAGGAATAATACGATAACACTGCCAATGTGGTAAATCAAACGATTAATTCGTGATAAAATCGAAAATTTTTTATATTGAAGTTTCAATGTGTACTAATTCTAAAAAAGTGTCTCGCAATATTTTCATGACAAATAAAACATATTTTAAAAATAACGAAATATTTCGTTTTATCTATACCTTATAAAATAATAAAAAAAAATCTCTTATTATTTTATAGCTTACCTTTCATAAGCAAAGCAGCCGTATATATATCAGAACCAAAAGAATTGATTACTATACAGCTGTAATTACCAATACTTTTCGGCTGAACAGAAGGCACAATTAATATGGAATAAAATTCGCTTGTTTCGATTTTTATATCTTTAAATTCATTGATATCGATGTTATCTTTTTTCCAATTATATGTGAATGGCGGATCGCCTGATTTCACGGAACAAGTTACTTGTTCTCTTTCTCCAATTTCTACATCTTTGGTAAAATGAAAATCTTTGATCTTAGGAGGATACTTTCCTAAAAAGCATGGCATTGTTATTTAATAGAAAAATGCTTATATCAAAGTAACTTATTTCAAGCATACCTGATGAAAATGGTATTATGAATACCAACGAAAACAAAAACTGTATTTGTCGCATTTCAAATATATGCTAAATATATTACTGTCTTAATTGAAAACACCTTAATTTCAATATATGAACAAAAATACTAATCTTTGCTTACTAAGAAGGTACCATGTAAAATACGAAACAATTAAATCTCTATCATCATGAAAGGCTGCAGTAGAAAACATGGTTCCTAGAAAACAACAACAACGCCAAAAGTGACCAACTAAAGAAATGATTTTAAATAAGGTTTCCACAGTTAAAATGAAATAACTTTTATTAATTGAAAAAATATTTTAATATAAATTTAACGTCAAAATTAATAATATGTTTGAGACATTTTACCTTTTATAACTAAAGCAGCCGTGAATCTGTCACTTCCAAAAGAATTTTCAATTATACATGAATAATTTCCAATATTTTGGGCATGTACAGAAGGGAAAATAAGTACCGAATAAAATTCATTCTTTTCTGTTTTAATATCAGAATGTCCTTCGATCTCCATTTGATCTTTCATCCAAGTAAATATAAATGGAGAATCACCTTCCAGAACTGCACAAATGATCTGTTCTCGCTGGCCTTCTTTAAGACCATTGGTAAACTGAAAGGGACGAATCTTCGGAGGGGAAACAGCTAATAAAAGAATATTTCATAATAAATGCTTGTAACTATTGCCAACAGTATGCAAATGAATGCAAACACTTACCAAAAACAATCTGAAGAATGGAAACAAACAAAACTATTCGTCTAGTATCTTTCAAAAACGAATTCATTATTGAAAGTATACAATAAATGGACCATAGCAAAGATTCTTAATAGAATACCAAAGGAAAAAGATATATTCACATAAATTTACGCAGAATTCATTCTATCAACAAGGCTATAAGTATACTACAGCATTGCCACCAGCGAGAAAATAAAGAACTAACATAAACTAAAATTTATTTATTACAAGTTTTAATTGTTTACTCAATATAACTATTTTAGTCTAATAAGATTTTAAAAATTTATTTTATCATTATTTAAACAAACTTGCATTTTAGGTAATAATTGTTGATGATTCTTGTAAATAAACTTTATGCACATGTACTGTACAGTACATCACATTTTTATATAGAATCAAATTTCTTTAATTTATTTATTAACATACCCATAGTAATGCCAAATGGTAAGTGGAAACTACTCACTACAGAAAACCGGATAAAAATATAAAAAAAAAACCTCATCATTCAGCAAAATAAAACATATAAACCTATATTTTAAGTCTGTAACAAAATCTATCAATATTGTATTGTTGATTTACTTATATTCAAATATATTGTTCGATATAAAATTCATAATATGTGAATCAAAATAAAAAAATTGTATAATAAACAATTTTCAAATATAAGAAGTTATGCAATTTCTACAGAATTCTAGTAAGCTTATTNATAAATTTACGCATAATTCATTCGATCAACAAAGCTATAAGGATGCTACAGCATTGCCACAAGCGAGAAGATAAAATTTTTATCAAAAAATTTTCATATTTCATTTATATCATATAATAATTCAAAATTTCATATCAGTCCAATACTTTGTTAAGCTTGCTAAATTATTAAAGCAGGATATATTTTTATGTAGAAAGTGATTACTAATAATATAAAACCGAAATGATAAAAATTATAAAAACAAATTAATCTTAATGTTTAGTTTTTCACAAAAATTTCAAGCATTTGATCAAGTTGACAAATAATTACAATAGGTGATAAAATTGCTTACTTTCTACAACTTCTAAATAATAAAAAAATAAGAACAAAACAATTTCGAAAAACGAAACCAAAATAATTTGCACTTAACAAAATTAATTTTGACATTAAATATACAGAACATAAAATATTCAACAATATTCGTGCGATTTTTTACCTTTTATCACCAGAGTAGCCTTGAATCTATCGCTTCCGACAGCGTTTTCTACGATACAGGAATAATTTCCNTAAACATTCAACAACTTTCGTGTAATTTTTTACCTTTGATCATCAGAGTAGCCATAAATTTATCTCTTCCGACAGCGTTTTCTACGATACAGGAATAATTTCCGACATTTTGACCTTGTACAGATGGAATGATAAGCACAGAATAAAAGTCATTCTTTTCTACAATTATATCTGGAAACCTTTCAATTTCCATTTGATCTTTCATCCACATAAATGAAAGTGGAAAATCGCCTTCTAGTACCGCACAAGTGACTTGTTCGCGTTGGCCTTCTTTAAGACCATCCGTAAATTGAAATGGGCGAATCTTTGGAGGCAAAACAGCTAAGGAAGGAAAGCTTTTTCTAATGAACAACTGAACTTTTCTTTAAAAAAAAAATTACATCAAACTTACCATAAGCTATATTAATAGTGCATACGAGAAGCCATATCCGATTGATTTCTTTCAATGTTAAATTCATTTTGGATATAATAATATTCATACCATCTTAACAATGAATCACTTATATATTTACCAATTAATGACGGTTAAATTTCAGCAAATGTATATTTAATAAAGTTTCACTGATAACGAAACTATACACCGATACAATATAGATAGTTTTACTGGAGAATAGAATATAACATTCACAATTTTCAAAGCCATGATACAGCGACTGTATTGCCACAAGTGAGAAAACAATGTACTAATATATAAAATAATTCTAGATTATTTAGATATGTAAACTGCCGGTATACGTTAATGAAAAAAATAATAAAAAATTAAATATTTTATTAATATCTAATTCGCGATTATATTCACCCTTAAATTTCGATTTCAATTATAACATGTTGCCATCCAGTGGTGATATTTACTTACGATTTTTAAATAAAACCTTAAACTTTTATTGAGGACATATATTATATTCAAACAGCATAGTTTTCATAAAGTTATTAAACACAACAAAAATTAACTTATGTTTAAAAAATGTATTTAACCAAAAAATTTCTACAATGTAGTCTTTTTAATACATATAAATTTTCTAATAAATAAAACAAATAAAACAATTACACGTAAAGAAATTTACTTCGTTTATATCAATGCTCATAACATTTCAAACCATATACAGTAAATATTCTTTATCATAATTTTTAAAGTGAAGGAACAATTGGTAAATAAAACTCACCATTCATAAGTAAAACAGCTGTATAACTATCAGTACCTTCCGAATTAGAAACTATACACGTGTAATTGCCTATATGTTCGGCCTGAACCGAAGGAATATTCAATAACGATGTATCTGTGATGGCCACATCAACAATATTAATACCAGAAAATTTTTTAGTATCAACATTATCTTTTTTCCATTCGAAACTGAATGGAGAATCACCCTTAGTAACAGTGCATGTTACTTGTTGTCTTTGCCCCTCTCTAACATCACTTGTAAAATGGAAAGGTTTGATTTTTGGAAGAGATAAACCTGAAATACAAGAAAACTAATGTAGAATTTTCAGAGTTTCTTGATATCTTTTAATGAAAATTTCTTTTAGATTTTACATGCAAAGTGAATATGGAAAAATGGCTTAAACAAGCATTTTTAAGAAAACTTACCAAATACTAGAGGAATACACAGAACGTTGAGAACATACAATGAATTCTCCATTTTGTTACCACACACTCTAGTGTCAGAATAATGCAACTTATCAACAAAATCAATTATTTTAACATATTTTCAACAGTCTTGTCAATAACTATAAGAAAACTGTATTCCNCAGTACCTTCCGAATTAGAAACTATACACGTGTAATTGCCTATATGTTCGGCCTGAACCGAAGGAATATTCAATAACGATGTATCTGTGATGGCCACATCAACAATATTAATACCAGAAAATTTTTTAGTATCAACATTATCTTTTTTCCATTCAAAACTGAATGGAGAATCGCCATTGGTAACAGTGCATGTTAGCTGCTGTCTCTGTCCCTCTCTAACATCATTTGTAAAATGGAAAGGTTTAATTTTTGGAAGTGAACCTGAAATATAAGAAAACTAATGTAGAATTTTAAGTTTCTTGATTTTTATGAACATTCCTTTTAGATTTCGCATGCAAAGAGAATGTGGAAGAATGGCTTAAACATACATTTTTGAGAAACTTACCAAGGACTAGAGGAATACATAGAATGTTGAGAACATACAACGAATTCTCCATTTTGTTACTACACACTCACTCTAGTGTCAGAACAATGCAACTTATCAATAAAATAAAATATAACTTAAATTTTCAACAGTCACGTCAATGATTATAAAAAAGCTGCATTCCTATTACAATATGTAATTATAAAAATAATTAAAGCATATTACCTTTCATGATCAAAGTAGCAGTAAATCTATCCGAACCAATGGAATTTGAAACTATACAACTATAATTGCCAATGTTTTTTGCTGTAACTGAAGGAATGATTAGCAGAGATGTGTAACTATTATCAACATCGACAATTTTGATTTCAGATAACTTCTCAATTGATTCGCCATCTTTATACCAAGTAAAAGTGAGTGGCGGGTCTCCTTCTATAACAGCACAAATCACTTGTTCTCTCTGACCGTATTTCACATTTTCAGTGAAATGAAACGGTTTTATTTTCGGTGAACTATTCACTAAATGAGAATTCCAATTAATTTCAGTTTTGATTAATTCAACTAGAAATGACTTGTACTGTACTTACTTGAAACAAAACCGATGGACAGTACTAATAAAATAAAGCAAAACGCTAAATCACACTTCATTTTAACTGATTGAATTAATATCAAAAGAATGTTCAATGACCATTTTATTATACTACATTAATTACTTATTTAAATATAGCATATATAAAAGCATTCCTATCTACCTCTAGTAATTTATCAACACTGAAATGACGATTCGGTAGCGCCACAAGCGACAATTTGAGTATGTTTAAAATACAAAAACTTATCTAAAAAATTTCATGTCATGTTACACATTTATATTAGTTTTAATATAATTAAGATATTAATATGTATTTAATATATAATTTTATAACAAAAATATTCCACTAATATAAAATTACTGAAGTCCTGTAACTTTCTTACGTTATGTCTAGAATCCCACTTCCGCTAATAAATGCAAAAACAATGTTAATTAACGCTTTCTCGAATAATCAATCAGACAGAATATTGTAATACATGGTGAGTTAAAAGTCGCTTAACATCCTTATAAAATTGAAGCAAACAGGGAAAATTTTGGCATGATAGAAACAGGTACTTAGGAGCAATCATCTTTGCGTGTCAATCGGACGGCATAATATGTTTCTCCTGCTTAACCCAGTTCGATTTTATAAGAGTGTTAAGCGACATTTGACACGATGTGTATTGAATCCTTCATTTGAAGGAAACACTATTTTATGTGCACATTACGTACTGCATACAAATGAGAATCTAAATATAAATCTGATAATTTTTGTGAGTTCTGAAAACCAATTATAAAATAAGTAGATTGAAGACACACCGAACATTTATTCAATAATACATCAACAGGATTTTTCTTCATTAATCACAACGAACGAAATTTCCTTAAAAAATTTCAAATAATTTATGGCTTCTTCCATTAGTAACACACTTAACTCTAAATGCAAATGATATTATTAATTCTAATCAAACGTTAAGTTTTATTTTTACGAAAAGTTATACTTTTATAAAAATCTATTCAATAGTCTTGGTATTTTATTAAAATGTAAAGTTTTATACATAAGCAAAAATTATAGTGAAATATAAAATGCTATTTTATTATTAATAAAAGAAACTGTTCCCTTATATTAAAAAACAAATCAAATCAAATTTTATATTGATGTAGTTTAATATAAAAACTAATAACTTATAAATTATTATAGACATAATTTGTTACTTTACAAAAAAATTAACTTTATATTGACAGTTATCAATCAATTCCTAAATTATCCGAATAATTTGCATTATATGAAAACATCTTTTCATTATTTCAAATTAAAGTATCTTTGTTACAAAGTAATATGTGCTTAATCGCCGAAATACAAATAAAATTAAAATGCATATCAGTTTAACATTGGCTTTTCATAAAGATTACAATACCATTAATCTAATTATCAATTAATATTTAATAGCTTTAATGAATAATAAATTCGTCTAATTTAATTTTTGGAAATTATGGATTAATTAAAACAATATTTATTAATTGAAAACTATATATGGAATTATAGCAATCTAATAGCAGTATATTAGCTAAGCCTATATAATTCCATAATAAATCAAACATAATTATCGATAATTTGTACATTTTTTTTTTCAAAATAATTTCACAATTTTTTTTTAAATTAACGAAAAAATTTATTTAGTAAATCATTTTAAAAATTAAATCAATATCATATAATCTCACCTTTCATCACCAAAGCAGCTGTATAGCTGTCTATACCTTCAGAATTTTTAACTATGCATGTATAATTTCCAACATGTTTCGCTTGAACTGAAGAAATTACTAAAAGAGAAGTGTAACTGAGTGGAACATCGACAATGCTTATATCAGGAAAGTTTTTAATGTTTATTCCATCTTTCATCCAACTAAACACAAAAGATGGATTGCCTGAGTTTAACCCACATATCACTTGCTCTCTTTCTCCTTCCTGAATATCTTTTGTAAAATGAAATGGCTTAATTTTAGGTGGAGATACACCTAAATAAAATCAGAATTAAATTTAGATACACACAACTACTGATTTTCAAAATCAAAACTCTACTCACTGCAAAAACAATAACCTATGTTGAAAACGACGAACAATGTTTTCAATTTTCTATTCATGAACCATTCCATTGATACTGAATGGAGTTTGATAACTTTATAACTACTTTACCAAATTTTACTTGCATTTAATACTTAAACATTATATCATATATCGACTGGCAAACAATACTGAATCCGATTGTACAACCTCCTAGCGGAATTTTACTTTACATACCCAGTATTTCAATAATGTTACAGTAAATCGCACAAAAATAGCCACAAGTTTTTAATGTCCATGATAATTTTTTAAATATATTCTTGTCGTATTAGAAAAACCAAAAATTATAACAATCTTTTTTTCCGGAAATAGTACAAAAAGCTTACCTTTCAAAATTAACTGAGACGTGTAACTATCGGAACCCACAGAATTCCTAACAATACATGTATAATTTCCAATACTCTCGGACTGAACAGATGGAATGATTAACAAAGAACTATCTGCTATATCCACTATTTTTATTTTTTTGAATTTCATAATATCTTCGCCATCTTTCAACCATGTGAAAGTAAGAGGTGGTTCTCCTTCATTAACAGCACAGATAACTTGCTCCTTTAAACCTTCACGAAGATTTTGAGTGAAATGAAATGGTTTAATTTTTGGAATGGTCTTTCCTGAAAAGATTAGTGGTCAAAAATCGTTCCAACTACTACATATACTGTATAAATTTTATACACTCACCATAAACGAGGCACAAAATGACCATATAGCAAATAGTTGCGTGAATTTTTTGCCATATTGCAATCATTGTTTAATATTTGACTACAAAACACATCTAGAAAGAACAAGAAGTGTTTATGTTATCCACAATCTAACAATACGCTTAAGTATCGATGAAAATTTTAAATACTTACTAAAATGAAGTGCCTTCAACTTATCGTCATGGCGAGAATTAACGACTGAAACACCACCAGTGGCGAAAGAACTGCATAAGTCACAAGTTTAAGAAATTTGTCGATTTTAAACAGATATTTGTATGCGAACACACTATGCATTTAAAAAATTGATTTGTATATACTTATAACATTTTTTAAAATTATTTTCTCACTTTTGATTAATGATGAGGCAATGTAAAATACGATTATGTTATTATATAAATAATAGTAATTTTGTAACGAAAATATGGAATATTTTCGTTACAAAATTATTGGAATGTCTAATGCAATTATTGGAAGTCTGATATCATCATCATCACTTGCATAATACACGCATAAAACGTTAGTGTTTATTCAAAAGATAAACTAGAATATTGTGCCCATATTGAAACTGAATTATCATTTAGGAATATTAAGATTTCACGAATATTTCGCGAAAATTAAAATCTGATTTAAATCCGATAATGAGGAAGTAGACTTTTTGTAGTTTCAGAAAACCAAGTTTATCCAATATAAAGTAAATGCCAGATAAAAGATAAACTAAAAACATTTTAATATTACGTCTAACAATGTATTGTTTTATTTAATCAGAATAGACGAGATTTCTTTGATAAATTTCAGATATAAAACAGTTTCTACCCATATCTGACTTAAGCAATTCCAAAGGGTAACAATATTATGTCTTATTTATACTGCTTTTATATTTTATCAACTTAACATTTGTTGTTGATACTTAGACGAAAAGCATTCAAATTTTATAAGACCTTATAAATTAATTTTTGAATTCATAAACTATTAATGCAGAATAATCAATTTTACATTTGCAGTTATCTTTATCATTTTCTAAATTATTCAAATAGATTTTTGCATCAAACTAATTTATATTTGTTACAATATACTGTATTTGTAATCGACAATCGTCGCTCAAAACAATCAAACTAAGTTGTACAATTCTATATACATTTAAATAAAATATAAACATTATTTGGTCGGCTTTTCATAAAATTTACGACAATGTTAGTAATTTAATTATAAACTAATATTTAACAGCTTTAAAAAAATGAATAATAAATTAGTATAATTTCATTCCCAACAAACGAATTTTTAAATATTTTTTTTTAATGCTTTCTATCTTCTATAAGATTAGATTAAAAGCAATTTGCAAATTAGGTCAATATTTGCTATTTTAAAAAATACATGTAATTACTATAAAAATGTAGTAGTAATATATTATATAAAGTTCACAATAGTCAATCATTATTATCGATACTTCATACTTTCTCATTAAATAATCCTTAACTTTCTTCTGAATAATATTTAATCAAAATAAATGAAATTCCATTCATAAAACATTCTAAAAATTAAATCAATATCATATAATCTCACCTTTCATCACCAAAGCAGCTGTATAGCTGTCTATACCTTCAGAATTTTTAACTATGCATGTATAATTTCCAACATGTTTCGCTTGAACTGAAGAAATTACTAAAAGAGAAGTGTAACTGACTGGAACATCGACAATGCTTATATCAGGAAAGTTTTTAATGTTTATTCCATCTTTCATCCAACTAAACACAAAAGATGGATTGCCTGAGTTTAATCCACATGTTACTTGCTCTCTTTCACCTTCCTGAATATCTTTTGTAAAATGAAATGGTTTTATTTTAGGTGGAGATACACCTAAAATAAAATCAGCATTAAATTTATATAGGCCTATATATAAAATTTAGTTCAGAATCAAAACGTTTGCTCTACTCACTGCAAAAACAATAACCTATGATGAAAACGAACAACAATGTTTTCACTTCTCTTTCCATGAAGCATTCCATTGACACTAAATAGTTTCTGAAATCTCACTTATATTTAACACTTAAAATGAGTAAAACTTTAATTCATCCATCACTTCACAAACAATACTAAATACGATTATACAACCTCCTAGCGGAATTTCACTTCACACAACCAATATTTTAATATTAAGGTAAATTCGCACAAAAATAGCCACTATTATATCATGTCTATGATGATTCTTTCTTAAATTTTTTTATCATATCACGGAAACCGAAAATTATTATATATATATTTTTCCAGAAACAATACAATCTTACCTTTCAAGATTAACTGAGACGTATAACTATCGGAACCCATAGAATTCCTAACAATACATGTATAATTTCCAATACTCTCGGACTGAACAGATGGAATGATTAACAAAGAACTATCTGCTATATCTACTATTTTTATTTTTTTAAATTTCATAATATCTTCGCCATCTTTCAACCATGTGAAAGTAAGAGGAGTTTCTCCTTCATTAACAGCACAAGTAACTTGTTCTTTCAGACCTTCACGAAGATTTTGAGTGAAATGAAATGGTTTGATTTTTGGAATGGTCTTTCCTGAAAAGACGGATAATCAGAAATTTCGTTATAACTAACTTATAATATATAAAAATTATTATACACTTACCATGCACTAGGCACAAAATGACTATATAGAAAATAACTTTGAGATTATTGTGCCATATTGTAATCATTGTTTAATGTGTTATTACAAATGCATCTAGAAAGAATAGAATGTATTAATATATTATTCTATTAAGTTTAATGATATTTAAATTTATTGTTTGATAAAAATTACTTTCAAATACTTACTAGATTGTATGGTATCTTCAACTTATTTTCATGGCGACAATTAACGACTGAAACACCACTAGTGGCGAAAAAATCGCGTAACATATTTCGTGAATGTTATGGAATATGTTGATTTAAACATATTTTTGTGTCTGAATACACAAATTTATGAAATTATTACATATGTATATATTTAGAGTATTTTCTCACCTTTCATTAAGAGCGCTGCAGTGTAGGAATCCGAACCGTCATTATTTGACACAGTACAAGTGTAATTTCCAATATTATTTGGTTGTACTGATGCTATCATAAGTATGGAATTGTAATTATTATAATCAATAAGAATCTCCGGGTAGTTGTCGATATTGGAACCGTCTTTTGTCCAAATAAATGTGAACGGTGGATTTCCATCAATAACTAAACACACTACTTGTTCTCGTTGACCAATATGAATATCTTTAGTAAAATGAAACGGTTTAATTCTAGGTACCACAGCAGCTAAAAGAAACATTCCTAATTTGGATGTGTTTTAACAAAGTTGCTTAACAAATAAAAGTATTAATCACTCACCAACTAGTATGTTAAAGCTGCTCAAACACGCTATATGTAAAATTATAACTGACATAATATATCAAGACAGAAACTAGACAATAAGTTATATTCACTAATCGTGAACAGTCGAAATTTGGAATTACTTTTGTATGTTTCGCTGTTATAAACTATAAATATCAAAGATGGCGAATGAACTTCTTTACAACTGCGCCATTTGTGTGTAATTTCCGAATTACAGTATACGTTTAAAATATTTTGAAAATCTTTATTACGTAAAATATACAAAAACAATTAATAAATTAATCTTTAAACCAATTATTTTTAATACCTCACCTTTCATTTTCAAAAGTGCTGTATATCTATCGGATCCATAATTGTTTGTAACTGTGCAAGTATAATTCCCTACATTATCAACAGTGACAGATGGAATAGTTAACATTGAAGAGAAATCATCAATCTGTTTAATTAAAACATTAGAAATACATCTAATTTCAACACCATCTTTCATCCATTGAAAATTCAATGGAAGTTCGCCTTCTTTAACTAAACATGTTACTTGTTCTCTTTGATTTTCTTGTATATCATCAGAAAAATGAAAAGGTTTGATTTTTGGTGGCTTAACACCTGTAAAAATAATTATTATTTATAAAGCAAACTTTATAAGTTTCATTTAAAAATTTCAACATATTTTATCAATAACTTCACAATATTTTTAAAAATTAAATTCGGTATTTTATACGTTAAATTACTATAAAATCAACGTTACTCACCGATCGAAAACTGAAGATAACTCAAAACAGCAATGACACAAAGAAAAATAGTTTCCATAAAGCTATTGTAAGATGGGCTCGATAACTGTTAAAATCGAAAATAATTACGATAAAATAAAACTGTTCCGTTTGCCTTATGATTTCATCGAGTTACACTTATGTTAATTAGTTCCTGATAAAATTAAAGAAAACATTGTTAATGATATACGGATTTATGCCGATATAATGTGAACATTCGCAAACACTGCTGGGATATTTAAGCACTATTGCACTCCAAGTGAGATGTTACTGAACTAACTAAAATCGGTGAAATTGTGTAAAATGAATTAAATAAAATTTTAATTTACAATGAAAAAATCATTTTACAGTATAAATGTAATATTGCAAAAACAGTATACATTTACCTTTCATTACTAAACCAGCCGTATAACTATCAGATCCAACGGGATTTTTAACTATACATGTATAATTACCAATATTTTCTGGCCGCACAGACAATATTGCCAAAACTGAATATAAATTATTTGCTATATCCACTTTAATATCAGGAAATTTTGAGATATCACTCCCATCTTTTTTCCAGATAAATGTTAAAGGAGCATCACCAGCTACTACGGAACATATAACTTGTTCTTTGTGCCCTTCTTCGACGGATGAAGAAAAATAAAATGGTTTAATTTTAGGGATAATCAAGCCTGAAAAATATTTTTTTTATGTTTAAAATAGTCAATAGGTATATATCTTTTGTGAATATTACATATAACACTAACCATTCGATGTCAAAAACAGGAAAAGAATCAAGAGTGTAATATATACAACAGCCATTGTAATAAATTCAATAGGATAGTTGTACCGATTGATAGTTCAAGCATTAATGAAGGATAATAATAGTCATTCTATTCATTCTATTAAAATACTGAAATACACTACTTATCGGATGTTTCGTGTTAAATACTTTTCCAGTGTGTACTTGTTTAGCTTAAGAAGTAAAACCAATTTTTACAATTCTTTCATAAACTTCAATGGCATTTTAGTAAATGAAAACTGAAGCGCTACTAGCGTCTGCAATGAGAATTAAGTGTGCTAATTTTACGTATTTCAAAAATCAGAAGAAATATAATAAATACTATATATACTAATATCGATTATATTATATATATAAATAATAATAAATATTAAAATAAGGGCAGTGAAATACAGGGCAGAGTGACATGTCATGTAAAACATAATCTGACATATATAAAATTCATACCTTTTAATACCAAAGCTGCTGTAAAACTATCAGAACCCATAGAATTTTTGACAATACAGGTATAATTTCCGATATGGTTTGTTTGAATTGAAAGAATCACGAGAACTGAATAAAAATTTTTAGGCGATTCAATGATGATATCGGAAAATTTATCAATATTAATTCCATCTTTTGTCCACGAGAAAGACAATGGTGGATCGCCAGCAATAGCAGAACATGTAATTTGTTCTCTTTGATTTTCTTGTAATGTTGTAGAGAAATAAAACGGTTTAATTTGTGGAGCATGTATACCTATAAGAACAAAATTTATGAAATTGTGGCATGTTATTGAAAATATTAAATTTTTTAAATCGTCGAATTACTCACAAGTCACTGAGAGTATTTCCAATAAAGAAATAAATATAACTGAAAACAGTTTGCGAACAATTATCATCTCTCCGACGACCTCCAGTGAATATTCAATGAAATATAATGGCTATTCATTATAACAAAGGAAATTTTTTGATATAACACACTGTAAGACTAAAATATACACCATAAAAGCACAATACCTTCGAAGAGGAATAGAAAATTCTTCTAAAATAACTAATATCTCTGTAAAATCACGATTTAAAATGTTATTAAAACATACGAAGAGGTTTGTTCATTCATACCGCAATGAATTTTGGGTAAATTACAGCTGAAGCGCTATAGTGGCGAATTTTATTACTATTGTTTAATACTTTTGTTTGTTTATTTAAATGAAATACTTTTAAACTAAAAACGCATAAAAATGTGAGATTTAATTCAATTTATTTTATAAAATGTCTTAAAACATATATAATAATAATAAATTTGGATTCTTTTCTTTACCTTTCATTACAAGAGCAGCTGAAAAGCTATCGGATCCAGCAGAATTTGTAACTGTACAAGTGTAATTTCCAATGTTTTTCGGTTTGACTGATAATATAACTAACACAGAATAAAAATTGCTTGGAGATTCCACTCTTATATCTGATATTTTGTTAACATCAACCCCATCTTTCGTCCATGAAAACGTTAGCGGTGGATCGCCTGATATAGCAGAACATATGATCTGTTCTCTCTGGCCTTCTTCAACCGATGATGTAAAATAAAATGGCTTAATTTTCGGTATAACTACCGCTGAAGAATATTTTAAATTTTAATAAATAGGAGGATAAAATAATTTCTAAAATAAAATACTTACACCTCTACTAACCATTAACTATAAAAACAAAAGTATAAATTATTATAGTTAACTTGTCGAATTTTTTCATAGCGACATCTGTAGTCGAATTTTGAACTTCAGAATCAAAATTATCTACAAGGAAATGTTTATAACCTAAATTAGTTCATTAAAACAAAACACAACATTGAAACATGAAATGATGAATCAAAATATGTCGCGAATTATACTGAAAAGTTGAATCTTACCTGAAATTAAATCAATTCTTCAGAGTGACAATGTAAGATGTCCTACTCAAAATGATTTCTACAGAATGAAGACTGAAACACCACTAGCGACATATTTCAGAACTAAATGTAACTGAATTTGTAATAATAGAAATGAATTTTTAAAAAGCGAATTAAACATACATTAGAAATTACAGTAGGGAAATGATTATATTGAGAACATTTCATGAAATACTGTTTATTTTATATAAAACTAGAGGTGGCTTTGCCCTTTATTCCCTATACAGACTGTTCGTAACAAACATTTGGTAACGTTTCATCGTTTCCCGGTGCTGCCGTTTTTATTCTTTTCGTGACGATTTTATAGGATTATATAAAGTAACAGATCAAAATGCATATTTATATCGATATTTTGTACAGAAAAACTGCAAACGTACAAATAATTTCTAAAATATCCGTCAGAATTTATATAAAATCGAAATCATATCTATAAATTTCTGAGATAAATTTATAACATATAACAAATATAATAATTAGTAAACGTGCAATATACTCGTATACAGTGATACATTCAGCTTTCACACTTTTGTCAGATTTTGAAAATGGAATAAGCTTCATTTTCAAAATCTCACAAATGCATGAAAACGGTTAAAGTATGTTTGTATATAGAAAAAAAATATTATAATAGTAAATAAAATATGAAAGTTCACTTGCTGTTTCGCTTTATAATATCCAAAGTTAGAGCTAATCTACAAATGTAAAACTAATAATAATACTCTGCATTATTTTTCGGTAATATAAAATTCAACGTTTACCTTTCATTATCAGCGATGCGGTATAGGAATCGGATCCAGCAGAATTTGATACAATACAAGTATAATTTCCAATATTCTCTGTTTTTACTGAAGGGAGAATTAAAACCGAATAAAAATCATTCGGTATTTCTATCTTTATATCTAAAAATTTATTCACATTTATCCCATCTTTCATCCAATTAAAAGAGAAAGGCGGTTCTCCAGCTACAACAGAACAAATAACTTGTTCCCTCTGATTTTCTTCGACATTTGCTGAGAAATAAAACGGTTTTATTTGAGGAGAAACCGCGCCTGAAAAAATTTCATTTCATTTATAAATACTTTTAAAAAATATGTTTACAATAAACAATTTTAAATTTAATGTGCCCACCAAAAGCAACTTTTGAAGTCCACAAAATATGCATTAAATAAAGAATTGTGCGGATCAGTAGCAAATTACTACTGACCTCTGTCGGGTGTTTCCGAAAGTATATCATCAGAGCACTGAACAAACTATATACTGTAAAATTAATTTGATGATTAAAACTATATCTAATAAAACTGATAAACGTACATATTATTAAGTATATACAACTCACTTTGATTTTACACGTAGATTTCAATAGTTACTCTTTTCACCTGATCTGAAAAACTGATTGGAAGAACACACTTCTGATTTTAAGATGAAAAGAATGTCGACTAGACGAAAACTGCAGCGCCAATAACGGTTTATTATGGAATCAAAATCTTAGGTTATTTTTTATATAATAAGAGCGTATAGAAATTAAACGGCAAGTGATAAAGTATGAAAGCGCCACAATTCAACAAACGTTTCGTGAAACAAGACTCAAATGGATATTGTATAAATATCACTTCAAAAAACCAAAGATAATACACAATTTATTTATATGTGATATTTTTACCTTTCATCACGAGAGAGGCAGTATGGCTATCAGATCCAATGGCATTCTTCACTGTACAAGTATAATTCCCAATATTTTCAGATTTTACAGAAGGAATTATTAAGGCAGAATAGAAATTGGGTGACACTTCGACTTTAATATTTATAAATTTATCAATGTCAATGCCATCTTTTTTCCAATTGAATTGTAAAGGTGATTCACCAGCGACAACTGAGCACATTATTTGTTCTCTTTGCCCTTCTTGAATGGTTGTTGAAAAATAAAATGGTTTAATTTGTGGTGCAGTAACACCTAAAGGGCAGAGCAAGAATTTATTAAATAGGCATAAAAAGTGTTATGACATAATTAACTAAAAAATTTAAATTAAATTTTATATAAAGTAAAATTGATACCTTTGCCAATATGTAACTTCATTAATACAAAAACTAGGTTCTCTCTGGCCTTCTTCAACCGATGATGTAAAATAAAATGGCTTAATTTTCGGTATAACTACCGCTGAAGAATATTTTAAATTTTAATAAATAGGAGGATAAAATAATTTCTAAAATAAAATACTTACACCTCTACTAACCATTAACTATAAAAACAAAAGTATAAATTATTATAGTTAACTTGTCGAATTTTTTCATAGCGACATCTGTAGTCGAATTTTGAACTTCAGAATCAAAATTATCTACAAGGAAATGTTTATAANCTCTTAAAAACCGCGATAAATTTATTAGAAAAATTTTCGGCGAAATGCCATCCGTACACAATATAGCGATTAAAATATCGCGCTATTTTAACAAAATAAAAACTTATATTTTAAATATATAATTTTATTGTTATGTTAAAATCCATACCTTTCATAACCAAAGAAGCAGTGTAACTGTCAGAACCTAAAGAATTTTTGACAATACAAGTATAATTTCCTATATGTTCTGATTTCACGGAAGGTATAAGCAAAGTCGAATAGGAGTCAGCGGACAATTCAATTTTGATACTTGAAATTTTAGAAATATCGATACCATCTTTCATCCAATGATAAGATAAAGGTGGATCACCATCTACTACCGAACACATTACATGTTGCTTTTGTCCTTCTTGAATATTTGATAAAAAATAAAATGGCATAATTTTTGGAGCATTTTGTCCTATAATTAATATATTATTTGTTAATCATATCTGAAAGTTTAAAACATTAAAATGATAAATCAAATTTATAACCAACAACTTACCATTTACAGTGCTATATCCAATGAAAAGAATCGTGAAGTAAAATATATAAAAAAATTGACACATTATCTTGGTATCATCCATACGATCTTTCCTAAATTTTTTTAGTATTTAGTATGATTGAAAAGAACACATCTTAAAGCGATATTTCCATGTTATTATTGAATACTAGTCACTCAATAAAACTATACAGAAATAAACACAATTTTAACATGTAACAATACAAGATCATCCACTTGCAAACTGTAAAGGCTTTCGGGATATAAAACACTGCAGCACCACATTGGTATATTTTAGAACTAAATGTTTTAATATTAAATAATAAAAGCAAACCATTAAAACTAAACCTTAAAATATTTGTCACTTTCAACGATAAAAATAAATTTATCATATAAAGAATTATGAAAATGATGTTTCCATATTCTTAGAACTATTTAATTACAATTGTAATATCGGTATTTTTAAAATATTTTGCATTTTAAATAATAATATAATTTACTAATCGAAAATTGAATATTTAAAAAAATTTTAATGTTCATTATTAAAGATACATCTATAAAATTTTATTCTATTATCTGGTTGTTTAAAACACCTCTTTTATTTCATATTTTTAAATTACCTTGTTTGGTATCATTCGCAAAAGTGTTTTCAATTAAAAGTGATTGCAAAGTATACTTCAAATAAGCGTAAAAAATTGTGAAATAACACAAAATATTCTAATTTATCAAATGATGTTTACCTTTCATAATCAAAGAAGCTGTATAGGAATCGGATCCTGCTGCATTCTTCACAATGCAAGTGTAATTTCCAATATCTTTCGACTGAACCGAAGGTATAATTAATATTGAATAAAGGTCATCGTATTTGATTAATGTTTCTCTAGAAACATCGCTACCATCTTTTTTCCAAATAAAATGTAACGGTGGATCACCAGCTTCGATGGAACACGTGATTTGCTGTCTTTTCCCTTCTTGTATAGATGTTGAAAAATAAAATGGTTTTATTTCAGGAGAAACTACTTCGCCTAGAAAATATTATGTGATAAGTCACTTTCACTAAAAATAAAATCATCCTAATCTCGATTCTTTTATAATAATGCAGAACTTACTATTTACAATCTGAAAAAATAACCACGAAACATTTAAAAGCAGATAAATGAATGTGCCGAAAACGTACATTTTCGAAGACGCCCTCTGGTTTTTCTAACGGAAACAAGTCAAGAATAACTATTAACAATAAGCAGAACAGAACATGCAATTCACAATTACAAAATCACTAAACATTCTTATGTAATTAAAGTTTATACATCTTTCTGAATATCATATTCACATAAATGATTGTAGGTATGAAACATAGCCTACCTGAAATTCCTCCACTACTCGCTTACCCGTTTAATTTTATGTAGTGTAATGTTTTTGGATCATATCAAAGCTGTTACGCCACTAGTGGTTTATTTTGGAACTAATTCTAATTTAATTCGAAATTTTTAAAAGATATCTTAAGTGAAAATGAACACAATAGCTGAAAAATAATTTCATACAACTTTAAATAAATATGAAATTATTTTCACTAATAAATATATATGCAAATGCTTTACTTTGGATGAAATTGTACTATTATTCATTATTTCACTTTTTTATAAATTGTGATAAATTCTGAAAATTCGAATCTGCATGCATATGCTTTTACAGTATGGCATAATTATCATCAATGTTTATTATTTATTGAGAAATATTTCTGCTTTTATGTAGCAATATAATATCCATATATTCAATGTGCTATGAAATAACCACTCTTAATTAATATATATACGAAGCGATAACAATTGTAAAAACTACTATTAATAAATAAAAATTAACAAAATTTTTAAAATATGAAGCTGGATAGATAAGATGCAAAACAATCACTTTTTCATTAGTAAAATTCTGTAATTCCAATATAAAATCTCATCAGTAAATTCAGTGAATTAAGAAATAATGGATTTATATAAATAACCATAAAATTTATTAAACTCATAAAAACTATCGTAATGTCTATCGTAAACATAGAGCTGCTTATATTTCTAATAAAATAATTTATATACCTTTCATTTTAAGTGCAGCAGTATAACTATCGGTTCCTATAGCATTGTTTGCAAGACATGTATAATTTCCAATATCCTCCGTTCGAACAGAAGGAATAATTAATAACGAATATAAATCATCAGTTTTAATTTCTATATACTTAGAAAGTTCTTTTCCATCTTTTCTCCATGTAAAAACAAAAGGTGGATCTCCCGCAACTATAGAACATATTATCTGTTGCCTGTGTCCTTCTTGAACAGTTGACAAAAATTGAAAAGGCATGATTTTTGGAATACTATTACCTAAAAGTCATAAAACATAAACATTCACTTACTTTTTAAGCAAATTAAATTATGTAGAAATATAACTATTAAAAAGAAGTATCTATTTACCTTTCACTATTTTCAAATTCCAAATGTGAAGAAAACAGACCACTAAATTTATCATCCGTAAAAACATTTCGGTGGCGACCTCTCGAAACTCATTCGAGAACTATTGGAGTATTGTAAAGCATTCAGTACAAAGAATAATGGACATTGTAATGATATAAAATAAGAATCTGCATACTTCACATAGGATTTCAAAAGATCTATTTATAATTACTTGAAGTTATGTGTTTAGAAATCCTTACCAAAATGGACGAATTATCAAGAATACAAATCAAAATATGTGATGGTTTTAAAATCTTCCAACAGCAAAGACTTTCGGGTATAGCTAACAGGAACGCCACTAGCGACTGCTATATAAACTGACATTAAGAAAATATTTTTATTTCCGAACAGAATATAGTGAGAAATATTCATAATTTGATTTCCAAAACATTACCTTAAATAAAATTCAAGAATCCATATGTTAAATAAATACAAATTTTAAAAATAACTTTTACACAAAAGATCAGATAACTTTGGTATTTGTATAGCGCAAAATGTAACGCACAATTTGAAACTTTAAATGTGTTTATTATTATAAATGGATAAATCCATTATCTATAGCTGGTAATAATTATAGACTTTTTCTTTAATAACTGTCTGGAAAAATATTGTAAAAATATTTTTAAAATCGATGCTTTCGAATAAATAGAAAATTCACAAAATGTACTGTAATATCTGTATAATTATCGAAATGTATCGGGTTTATTGAAGGAATTATTACGGAATAAAATTCATTATTTACTTTTACATGAAATTAGTCATTATTCAAAAAGTTTTATCATCTTTCTTCCTCTTGAATATATTAACATAGAACAATGACATAAATTAATCTTAAAATGTAAACTCTAAATGTAGAATTTGAACGAACTAAAATTTAAATATGTTACTAGTCTATGTATTAGAAATTTATGTATTGTTTACAATAACAAAATGCTAATCAATAAACAAGCAATATATTCCATATAAACAGAAATTACGAAAATTTCACGTAAACTTAATTATTATAAAAAGTTTATTTCAGACATTGTGTTATTTCTTGCGTTTGTGTTGTATTCAATTTTTTAGTATAAAATTATAAAATTAATCCAATTTAAACATATTACAAGGATTTATTGATAAAACATCACCAAATTTGAAACTCTTATCCAAAGAAAACGATACAAAGTTATTGATGTCAAATCTTAATATTTTACTTACGAGGAGAATCTTTCTCTGCTGAATCAAAATTGTGATATTACTGATTTATTGTAGAAATATAGAATATATTTACTATAATTATTNCGTATATGTATATGTGTATGTATATATATATATATATATATATCAATTTACGAAATACGATCGCGTTCCATGGCACATTTAATAATCACTTTATGAAATTTTGTTGTTATTTCACACTTAACCTATACAAAATATACAAGATATCTGTATTTCAGCTTTATTTTCGATTGAATATTAGCGGAGTTTTCAATATTAGAGGATTTTGTGAACAAAATCTATATTTTAATTAAATCATCTAGTATTGTTATTTTATATTTCGGTTTCATATTCATTCTGAAATGTGGATTACAGTTTAAATGCATATTTATTTAAAATGATTAATTATATGCAACAGTGATCGAGTTTATTAAATCGTTTTCATATTATCTTTACGTAGTCAACAGATTAACTCTTAAAATTCTCACCTTTCATATATAATGCAGCTGTGTACTGATCAATTCCTGCTTCATTCTGAACGATACAGGAATAATTTCCTATATCTTCTGAACGCACAAATGGGATAATTAGAACGGAATATAACTCATCCATTTTTATTTTTATCGATTTTGAAATTTCTGCACCATCTTTCTTCCAAGTAAATGTGAAAGGTGGATCACCAGCAACAACAGAACACATTACTTGTTGTCTTTCTCCTTCTTGCACTGTACTCATAAAATGAAAAGGTTTAATTTTCGGAATTGTTGAACCTGTAGATACACGTATAAATACGTTAATATAGACATAAACTTATGTAATATTTAAATAAATCAAATTATTCATTATAAAAATAATGTTTATATCTTACCTTCGGCAAAACTCCAAAAAATGATCAACGATAAAAAATTAATCATTCTAATAATCATCTTCGTTGGTTCCTTTCACAAAGGCAAATGCATAGTCATAATAGAAAATAAACTCTGAACATATAAAATAACGTTATACATTTCCATTTACAACAATAAAAGTCTGCATGTAAATCTTATCTTGTTTATACGGCAATATCTAAACTCTTGCCTAAAATATGCTGTAAATTGTTTGTAGTATTTCAAAATGCAGTTTTAATTCTTTAACAATGAAAGCTTTATTACTGGAACGCCACTAGCGACCATTTTCGAAATTATATGAAATAAATATTGGGATTTATATCACTTCATATAAATTTAGATAAAATCACTTTTAGGACTTCGTTTAATATATGATGAAACAAGCATTTTCATAAACGAGAAAAAGAAAAAGAAAAAAGTAATAATTACAAGTACAGTTGCCCCTTGATAATCCGACAGGTATGGGACCAAAGGTGTGTCAGATTACCAAAAGTGTCCGGATTACCGAAAATAATTACATATTTCGCATTGTTTTGCTAGCAGTAACTTACAATATTCTCTACTCCAACTGTTCGAACAGAACTGCTCACATAAAACACACGAAATGTGTGTCATCGTGTAAAAATTGGATGGGGAGATTCACATCGCGACATGCTTCTGTGCAAGCAGACACGTAACGGGGACGGGTACCTTGACGGGAGGTGCGTCGGACTACTGAGCATGTCGGATTAAAAAACGTCGGACTATAGAGGGACAACTATATAACATTTTAAGTTAATATTTTCGCTAACCTCTATCTTATTTTGCGGTTTGTCGATTGAATAGTCACCGTAATGGATCCGAGTTAGATAGGCTTGAGCTTAATTCGATAAAGTGCCCGTCGAGAGGCCTTTCTATGATAAACTGGCCCGTATTTAAGTTTAAGTACGTGAGTAAAACCCGGAAAATTCCACGTGGGAGTTTGTCAACCGAGAACTGGGACCAACTACCAGTAGTTCGAGGTTTTATCCATTCGACCACTGATGGACACCCAGAGTTCGAGAGAAATCCTAATTCGTGTATTTCTTAAATTATATAATTTGATAAATTAAGAACTTATCGTACAAAAAGATATTTTACAAGATGGACAAATTAAGTTGAACTTATTTCGTTCATCTTGTAAAATATGTTTCTGTATGATAATTCCTTAATTTATTAAATTATATAATTTAAATCATACAATAATTAAAGGACAAGAAGTTAAAATAAAATCAATCGAATTCTTGTGATATTGTTATTTGCATAATTTGATCGGAACTTTTTCCCTTATCTCACCATTACTAACTGATCTTATTCATACAGCGTACAATATTGCAAAATTCAAATGGATTATATAAACCAAAGTGTTGTTCTTTATAGATCAAAACAAATATTCAACACACTATGAATTACATGAAATTATTAATGCATTAGGAAATATATCATTACAATAACTCATACATTGAAAACCTCATTAAAAATTCGATTTAACAAAGAAGTAAAAAAGATATTTTTTCCTTTGTAAAATGTAATCTTAGAAGATTCCATAATAGCAAACCTTTTCTCTATAAACCTATTCATTTGTATCATTTAAATGATATTAATTAATAATATAAAACCATACTCAATATATATTAATAATTAAACAATATAGTCGAATTCTTGTCGGATTTTATTATAGCCCGATAAGAATCCGGATGTATCGTTTGATTATTATACAATTTATAATATATTACATGAACCATACTATATTCTTTCGTCGTTGTCATATTCTAATGCGAATATCATTGATGACCATTGATTCAATGACATGAATAATAAAATATATTTGTTAGAATAAATTTTAATTATTAATCACGTTAAACTGATTGAAATGAATATATATTCATTTACTGATTTACAGTTTACTGATTGAAATGAATATATATTCATTTCAATCAGTTTAATATGATTAATAATTAAAATAAGTTTGCACATAAAAATTTTCAATAAATTGAATATAGTTTATCTTTCTTTGTATAAAAAATACTTCGTATATTTTATAAATAATATTTTAAAATATGGCAAACTATTTTTGATTACCTTTCATAACCAAGGATGCCGTATAGGTATCGGTACCAAAAGCGTTTTTTAAAATACAGGTGTAATTTCCAACGTTCTCTGCTTTTATCGACACAATAACCAAGACTGAAAATAATTCATTCGATACTAGAGTAATGTCATGAAAATTTTCAAAAGCAACTCCATCTTTTTTCCACATAAAAGTTAATGGAAGATCGCCAGTTATAGCAGAACATATTACTTGTTCCCTTTGTCCTTCGTGTACAGATTTCGAAAAGTAAAACGGCTTAATTTTTGGCGCAACTGCAGCTAAAATAAAGATAAAAAATATTTAAAATAAATTTTAAAAATATTTTTTTTTCTTTTTATTATACTTACAGTCAATACTGTAAAATTTCCACAATATAATTAAATTTAAAAAAATCGAGTAATCGCAAAAGAACATTCCGAAGAGGACCTCTGGTGATAACTTTTCAAAATACTTGAACGTTCTTCAAAAAAAGAAAGAATACATTCTGATGTTTATAAATATCTATTCAAATCAAGTTTTTAAATCGAAATTTCAATGAAAGATCATTTATAAACATATTTTACTATTCAAAAACAGAAGATTTACCTGAAAACTTCCAGCTATGAAAGACAACTGCAGAAGAATACATACAATACTACCTTCGTCTTCTACCAAGTAATACATTGAATTTAAAATCAAAACTGCAGCGCCGAAAGTGTATACTTCAAGAACTAAAATCTTAATATTAAAACATTTTTTTATCTTAAACATTTTAGCCAATGAAATTCTTAGGTATAGAGAGATTTCAAGAGTTTATATTGTACACTTAAAAGTGTTGTATTGTACATTAATTTATTTCTATACTTATATTCGTATCTAAATAATAAAAACAACATATAATTAATTCCGTTTTAACAGACGTTAACATCTCGAAAAACAAAGATGGCGGTCATGTTATATCATAGAGGATTCTAGACCTTAAAATATGCAATAAATACACAAAATTAAACATAGTTTTCACTGGATTCAAAAAATACACTTTTAAAATGTTAAAGCTTTTACTTTTAATAATGTTAATTATAAACACACGCACATCAAACTGAAATAAAAATGATACATAAAAAAACAAGAACTAAAGTGTATGCAAAGTTTGATTAAAATGTAACTTTCTGATGTTTTTAATAGGCGTTTTAAGTAAAGAATTCTTCTTACTTATTATTTAAGAAAGTAATTGTATTACAGTATGTGTATTGTATTTTTTAATTAATAAACGTATATAGTCGGTCTCTTTTTTAAATGGAGATTTTTAGTATTTTATCTTCAAGTCGTCAACTATCAGCTCCTGAATAAAATTAAAAAATAATTTTTAAAAACAGACTGTAACTGGTATAGTCTTCATTGTTTAATAAAAACTCTTGTTTTTATGAGTGAATACATTTTAAAACCATTCTAAAACTCTTCTAGTTTTTAAAAACTTGGAAAACTCAAATAGGTGCTCGATATTGTAACTATGTGATTTTTCTTCCCTCTTACTCTCTTTCCACCCTGTAGACACTAAGAAAACTTTTTGTATATCAATCATTGGTTCGGCTAAGCCAAACTGGGAAAGAGCGGGTTGCGAGGGACGGTCCCGACATATCCGAACTACCGAAAAATTTCTGGAGTTTTTTGACCAGTCTGGTTACGATATCAGATCAGATGAAACGCGATTCACTGACAAAAGCATCATTGTAAATAGCTTACTTTCCTAGTTCTAAGTTAACCTCGATTCATGATTTATATACGTGCCATTTTCTATTCTTTGTATGGAAAAATCTGAATGTCTATTACCGCTTGTTCCTGATAAGAACAATGCTCATGACTGAATCCTGAACTGTGAAGATTTTATCATTTTTTCTACGGCCTTAAATAAATTAAAGAATATAGGCCTGTAGTACAGTACTTGAGTTGATATACAGCGGCAAAAAGTCGATATTGGTTGCAGTATTCATTTTCAAAAATTCTTTTGTATTGGTATTTAGTAACATTAAGTTGTTAACAAATACAAATGCAAAAGAATTTTCCATATAATATTTAAATTTCATTATAAATAATTTTTATTAATTCATTAATTAATTTAATTATTAAGGCTGATGTCAAACGAGCATGATTTCATGTCCATCGTTTTTGACCAGTCTTTTTTAAACCAGTGTTTTTTTTCTCACAACACACTTACACCTATAATTAAATTTTNTCATATTCTAATGCGAATATCATTGATGACCATTGATTCAATGACATGAATAATAAAATATATTTGTTAGAATAAATTTTAATTATTAATCACGTTAAACTGATTGAAATGAATATATATTCATTTACTGATTTACAGTTTACTGATTGAAATGAATATATATTCATTTCAATCAGTTTAATATGATTAATAATTAAAATAAGTTTGCACATAAAAATTTTCAATAAATTGAATATAGTTTATCTTTCTTTGTATAAAAAATACTTCGTATATTTTATAAATAATATTTTAAAATATGGCAAACTATTTTTGATTACCTTTCATAACCAAGGATGCCGTATAGGTATCGGTACCAAAAGCGTTTTTTAAAATACAGGTGTAATTTCCAACGTTCTCTGCTTTTATCGACACAATAACCAAGACTGAAAATAATTCATTCGATACTAGAGTAATGTCATGAAAATTTTCAAAAGCAACTCCATCTTTTTTCCACATAAAAGTTAATGGAAGATCGCCAGTTATAGCAGAACATATTACTTGTTCCCTTTGTCCTTCGTGTATAGATTTTGAGAAGTAAAACGGCTTAATTTTTGGCGCAACTGCAGCTAAAATAAAGATAAAAAATATTTAAAATAAATTTTAAAAATATTTTTTTTTCTTTTTATTATACTTACAGTCAATACTGTAAAATTTCCACAATATAATTAAATTTAAAAAAATCGAGTAATCGCAAAAGAACATTCCGAAGCTTGTAAAATATGTTTCTGTATGATAATTCCTTAATTTATTAAATTATATAATTTAAATCATACAATAATTAAAGGACAAGAAGTTAAAATAAAATCAATCGAATTCTTGTGATATTGTTATTTGCATAATTTGTGATCGGAACTTTTTCCCTTATCTCACCATTACTAACTGATCTTATTCATACAGCGTACAATATTGCAAAATTCAAATGGATTATATAAACCAAAGTGTTGTTCTTTATAGATCAAAACAAATATTCAACACACTATGAATTACATGAAATTATTAATGCATTAGGAAATATATCATTACAATAACTCATACATTGAAAACCTCATTAAAAATTCGATTTAACAAAGAAGTAAAAAAGATATTTTTTCCTTTGTAAAATGTAATCTTAGAAGATTCCATAATAGCAAACCTTTTCTCTATAAACCTATTCATTTGTATCATTTAAATGATATTAATTANCAATGAAAGATCATTTATAAACATATTTTACTATTCAAAAACAGAAGATTTACCTGAAAACTTCCAGCTATGAAAGACAACTGCAGAAGAATACATACAATACTACCTTCGTCTTCTACCAAGTAATACATTGAATTTAAAATCAAAACTGCAGCGCCGAAAGTGTATACTTCAAGAACTAAAATCTTAATATTAAAACATTTTTTTATCTTAAACATTTTAGCCAATGAAATTCTTAGGTATAGAGAGATTTCAAGAGTTTATATTGTACACTTAAAAGTGTTGTATTGTACATTAATTTATTTCTATACTTATATTCGTATCTAAATAATAAAAACAACATATAATTAATTCCGTTTTAACAGACGTTAACATCCCGAAAAACAAAGATGGCGGTCATGTTATATCATAGAGGATTCTAGACCTTAAAATATGCAATAAATACACAAAATTAAACATAGTTTTCACTGGATTCAAAAAATACACTTTTAAAATGTTAAAGCTTTTACTTTTAATAATGTTAATTATAAACACACGCACATCAAACTGAAATAAAAATGATACATAAAAAAACAAGAACTAAAGTGTATGCAAAGTTTGATTAAAATGTAACTTTCTGATGTTTTTAATAGGCGTTTTAAGTAAAGAATTCTTCTTACTTATTATTTAAGAAAGTAATTGTATTACAGTATGTGTATTGTATTTTTTAATTAATAAACGTATATAGTCGGTCTCTTTTTTAAATGGAGATTTTTAGTATTTTATCTTCAAGTCGTCAACTATCAGCTCCTGAATAAAATTAAAAAATAATTTTTAAAAACAGACTGTAACTGGTATAGTCTTCATTGTTTAATAAAAACTCTTGTTTTTATGAGTGAATACATTTTAAAACCATTCTAAAACTCTTCTAGTTTTTAAAAACTTGGAAAACTCAAATAGGTGCTCGATATTGTAACTATGTGATTTTTCTTCCCTCTTACTCTCTTTCCACCCTGTAGACACTAAGAAAACTTTTTGTATATCAATCATTGGTTCGGCTAAGCCAAACTGGGAAAGAGCGGGTTGCGAGGGACGGTCCCGACATATCCGAACTACCGAAAAATTTCTGGAGTTTTTTGACCAGTCTGGTTACGATATCAGATCAGATGAAACGCGATTCACTGACAAAAGCATCATTGTAAATAGCTTACTTTCCTAGTTCTAAGTTAACCTCGATTCATGATTTATATACGTGCCATTTTCTATTCTTTGTATGGAAAAATCTGAATGTCTATTACCGCTTGTTCCTGATAAGAACAATGCTCATGACTGAATCCTGAACTGTGAAGATTTTATCATTTTTTCTACGGCCTTAAATAAATTAAAGAATATAGGCCTGTAGTACAGTACTTGAGTTGATATACAGCGGCAAAAAGTCGATATTGGTTGCAGTATTCATTTTCAAAAATTCTTTTGTATTGGTATTTAGTAACATTAAGTTGTTAACAAATACAAATGCAAAAGAATTTTCCATATAATATTTAAATTTCATTATAAATAATTTTTATTAATTCATTAATTAATTTAATTATTAAGGCTGATGTCAAACGAGCATGATTTCATGTCCATCGTTTTTGACCAGTCTTTTTTAAACCAGTGTTTTTTTTCTCACAACACACTTACACCTATAATTAAATTTTCGCGGCACACTTAAGTTAATTAATGACACGCAGAGAAAAAGTCACGTGATTTAAAGTTGTGTTTGTAAATATTCTATCGCCATATTTGCCACTTAACCTAATTCCTTTTGTACATTTTTGTGAATTAAATAAAACCGTATTGTTGTTCCTTAAAATAGCAGCAGGTTATAACAATAGTTATTTAAAACAATCTTTTGGAAATTAAAATTTATACAATTGTGAAAGCCGAATTTATTGGAATAAATTGTTAAATATTTTTTTTCTCGTAAGAGGAACAGTTTAGAGAAATAAACAACGATCCAACATATAAAAAGAACATAAAACTTTTTTCCCACGAACTTAATCCCGTGTTGAGGATGATACATCGAATGTGTCACCCGGAATCTACGAAAAGACAAAAGAAAACCTCTATTGGTCAGTGGTGAAAAAACAGTCCTAATAAGGCAGTGGGAAAAACCCAACGATACCCCCTTTATAAAAGGGGGGGTCGATGCGTAAGAGTCAGTCTCCGGAGTTTGGTGTGAACTGTGGATTTACGTGCACGGATTAGCCGCTACTATTCTAATCGCCGCCGTTCGAAAGAACTTTGCGTCATATCGAACCCAAGTATCAACGTTCGGAAGAACTTTGTGTCATATCAGACCCAACTTTCAACGTTCGAAAGAACTTGGTGCCACATAGAGACTCGAAGACTAACGACTATTCGACAACTTAAAGCAAGGTATTTATCCTCACGCGAAACACATGTGAGCTCTCTCTCTCTCTCTCTCTCTCTCATGAATACGTGTAATCGGGAAGAAAATAGATATGTTAACTGAATCGATTGTATTTAGCTTAAAAAGAATAATAAACGGGCATTATGTATAGATTATGTAGAGTGTAATTCCTCTGATTCTCTCTTTACGCCTTCATCCCGGAACTAAAAGTCCACAACGCGACCGTTCGCGTAACCAAAAGTAACGGCCAATAAAATTTTTCTGTGTCTGTTACAAGACACAGTGGTGTCATCCTGACAGGGCGCCAAAGAGGTGCCGATTCTGCGGTCACACAATCATAAATATGAAAATGATAAATTTAGAATTTGTGAAAAAATGCCTCGATTACGAAAATTATTTATCACCTGTAAATATTTATTTAACAAATATTTGAACAATATTGAAAATTTTTAAATGACTTGCGTAACTATTCGTTATCTAACGAACAAAATTTAGCAAAGGACATACAGTATTTATTTACTAGGACGGTTTCGCCCTCCTTGAACACCTAAGTCGGCTCTCGCTTTGCACACTTATTTCCGATACAAACTATTCAAACAAAGCTTTCAATAAATTTAAACCTAAATCTGTCTAATTCCGAGTAATGATTTTGTAAAGTAAACTAAGTCCGGATCCGTTTCAAAATGCACCTCCACACTTAAATTAATTGGAAAATAAACAATATTTATTCAAATCACATAAATTGGGATTCCGGACGGCCACGTGAACTTTGACCGCTGGCCAGATGGCCGAGCGGTCAAAGTAGTAGTGAGAGCCTACCGCTCTGGGAGACCCGGAATCGAATCCCCACTCGCTTCTCTCTACCTAGCCAGCCCGTCCTGGCGAGGCGCAAACCCACGGCCGAACACCCACAGCCGATTGCAGAGTCAGAGTTTACGTTGAACGACGTTTATCAACAGAACGGCCTATAGACGTTGGCTGGCTGAACCGCGGTTTAAAATGCGTTGCAAAGACGACGATCGTCTATTTCTGAACGCCCTCTAAACGAACATCGGCAAAACATTGGCTCTTACTTTTTTCTCTATTACACCCCTGTTTTAGGAGTCATTCGGCCAATCGGGTTATTTGTTTGTGACGTCAGAAATGGTCGCCAGCTATATTCGGAAAGCTTCCAGAAATAAAATCTTAAGGCCGTGAAAACCATTGTTCAGCAATTAATGACAATCCTTTTCCATTTCGATATTTAATTTCGTCGCCAATACGGTTTAAAATACGAACAAATCCATATTTAGAAAATTTATACCGAATTCGAAGTTCGTCTTCGGAATAGATTTTTAAGAAATTATTTCGACATCTTATTACTGTCTCCCTTCGTAACTATCGAAATGAATAATTTTAAATATTTTATTATTAATATTACATTTTTTATATCTATAAACAGATTTCTGTAATAATTAAAATTGTCTCCTTTGTTTAACAGTACAATGACTCCAAAATGCGTTAACGTTTTATAACCGACACGATACTCGAATTGTAAATAAATGCATCTGATTTAAATTAATTGAAGTTTTAAGTCTTCACCCATTTGAATATCGAAATTGGAACATTTAAAACAATTTAAAGTATTTAATTTTGTTAATATTGCTCCAAGCAATTAATTAATGAATAATTTTGTCGATTCGTACCGTTTACAACATTTATCAAAGGAACGATATCTGTTTTTATCTAAACTTTTCCACGAACAAAGCTACCACTCGAATTGAAAAGCCCTCTAAACCTACTGTCGCGTGAGTCTTGAAAATAGGTCAAACAACATGTTTCTAATCGCTGTGTACATTGTGGCAGGCGACAAACGCCGTCTGGGCAATGAAATTTTTCTGAACAGCGGTCTACCCGATCTGTAAACCGCCGTCAGTCTCTAACGTAGCGGCCGGATGGCCGAGCGGTCAAGGTGGCAGCCTACCGCTCTGGGGGACCCGGGTTCGAATCCGAACGGGTCGAAAAATCCCCAATAATTTTTCGGGGGTTGGTATGTCGGGCCCCGTCCCTCACCACCCGGCAGCCCCATTGTGGGCATGGCCGAACCCGTAATGGGCTTGCAAAATGAGGCCCTCTTAGTGCCCACA